TTATACATAAATATAAGTACATAATTTATATTATATTATACATAAATATAAGTACATAATTATATAATAAATATAAACATGATAGACATATACATAAGAGAGATAATTCAAATTTTAATTAATACTTGTAATAACTGAGGAACTATCAATCCTTTACAGATGAAAAACAGAAAAGCTCAGGAAAGTTAAAACAATTCATCCAAAATCACAAGGTCAGAGGCATGACTGATTCGAATGGTCGTTTTACTCCTAGCACCACTGACCTTCTCCTTGATAAACTGACCTCACCCTTATTCCACCTCCAAGCATCACCTGCTCGGCTTCCTTTCCCTTCTAAAGATCTGAATCTCCGCAATCTTCTGGACCGTCTTCTCGAGTTTTACCTCTTCCAAGAAATTTTCCCAGAAGAGCGAAGCTTTCAATCACGTTTCTCAATATGCTCATGTTCTCTGGGGCGCATGTTACGCCGTGTGTCTGTGTGTGCCCCGTGTGTGCAGTCATGTATTATGAAGTTCTGATGACATTCTAAGTTTCTACATGATTAAATTCCGAAGTCCTTATCCTCTGCCACTTTAGTTGCTACTCTATAGTTGCTACTTTAATACGAAACATATCAGAGGGATTCATAAATATTTGGCTACTGGTTCAAATTTTTCCTTATACTTTAATAGGAAAGAGAGATGTACTTACAGTCTAACCAGATTGGTGAGTCCTCGAAATATGTCTGCATTCAGACATCCTATTCGATTATTTGTCAGATCCCTAAGGAGAAAGGGGAAAAAGTGTCTTCAGTAAGTTCTCTTGGGTGATGAAGGTTTCATGCATTCAATATTCAAGAACGGCACCCAAGCACCACACAAAACTTTTCTTTTCAGCACCTCGGACATATTTACCTACCGCAAGTGAGATACGGTGGCACCAACAGGGGAAACAATCCTTGCTTGCGCCTACTTCTGGCCTATACTGACTAAACGCTGTTTAATTAGAGTGTCGTCTATATTTCAAGACTTTCCTCCTATAAAATGACGCAAGATAAAACTGGACTAGTACAAATGAGACTCAATATTATCTTACTGTCTGTGATGCGATTCCTTAGATGACCTAAACGGTTGATTATGCTGGGAGAAATAAGAGGACAAAACCTCGACCAACATCTAACGGACGATGGGCAAGAGGGCAAATTATCGAAATGAATGCTGCATCCTTCACTTCCTCATGAACATCCGGAACGTAAAGCTTTCTAACTTCGCTTCTTAAATATTCCGAAGTTTTGAGTGTAACGAAAACGCAACTGAGTCAGCTTTTACTTTAATTTATCCATCATTTAGTCTCCAACCCAAATTACTTAATATCTAGGTAATGGCCCAATTGTTTTTTTTTCCAGTCACTCCTGACTTTGTATAGTTCCCATCAAATGTTACTTTCTAAATATTTTTTCTTCTCCTCAATCCATGGAACTTTTTGTTTTTTATCTACGTAAAATGTTTGGTAAATGTTTTGTTCTTTCTTCACTATTTTTCTTTACACCAAAGACAGTGAACACAACTTTACACATTAATCAGGAGATTACATTTTAATTGGGAGATAATAACTTATAATTTCCGTAACCTTCAAATAAAATGGCATGGTTTTCATTATTTTTTATCAGTGGACTTAGTAAACTATAAATATAATGATCTTCGTTTTTACCAGTTCTTAGATTTATTCGTCGCTTTAAATCACGATAAAAGAATTATTCGTCACTTTAAATCACGATAAAAGAATTAGAACAAGCTTTCAACACCAAACTTTCAAAAATATTTTTATCACATTTTCTTCAATATCCATATTATTCACTGTAAGGGAGTACCGCACATTCTTGGAGTTATACTCTGAGTTACACTCTTTAAAGAAACGATTTACACCACCCACTTCTCAACTATAACGGTTGGATTCTAAATTGTATACTTGGTAACGGAAGAATATGTATTAGTCTGATGACAATTTATAAGGATACGGCATTTGAATCAGGTGTCTGCCTACTCACTAAGTTTTTCGCTCAGATATTTCATGGCTTAGGTGATCCTGGTGTCCCATAATTTCGTAGCTCTGCCTTCATTACAGCAATGTTTGATAAAAGAACCTTAAGCAATACAAGTCTTTATCTGTGCTTGCTATTCTCCAGCTCTTCAGACTATTAAAGCTAAGTATTTAATCATGCAGGACTTTTTTTTTTAAATTCCAGCTGATTTTCCTTTTATTTCTGGGTTTTACTGGCTAAGAAAATGAAGCATCATCTTGTGAATTGTTGCTTAAACAAGCATTTCTGGGCTCTATTCATTATCTTGTCTCAATTCTGAGCGTTAAATGGTGTAATTACCATTGATTCTTTGGGTAACGATTTCATTATAGCTATATCTATTTAAAATAGTATTTAGGTATTGATAATGGGTGTTCATTCGGGTTGAGAATCAGCGTGAATTTGTTGATAAAGCAAAAAGAGACAATGAATAGGTCTAGCTTCTACCTACTTCTGGTAGTTTATTCTGCAGAAAGCCACTGAATCTTCCTGATTCAAACTAATAAAGGCAAAAAGGCATGGTACACTTACAAAAACACTTTACGTGTGGTTGCCAAGTGATATGCACAAATGAAATGAATGATTTTAAGTCTCCATAAGAAAAAGTGCCTTACCTATAAGCAACTATCAAACATTACTACTGCAGAATATCTTTATATCTCACTGAGTTTACATATAAGGCTCTCTCAGCTTGCAAACTGGATACTGTAAATTCAATGACAAATCAGCTGTTTGGAATTAAGAATATATTTCCTAGTGGGAAGAACGTTATAAATGGCAATTACATTCCTAGGCAAGAACACAAGAGACTACTTAACGTGTAACGCAATGAAAAATGCAAAGGCAACTCCTGGTACGATATTAGCAATTAAATGCTACTGAACAAGAAATGCATGTATTTATTTTGAATGGCAGGACTTGATAAATTATTTACTGAAGAATAAAGATCTAGATGGAGAACCTAAGATAATCTGCAGTGTCTTTAAAACATCCGAATGTAACTGCTATTTATTAACAGTCCAATTTCCTTCAGCCTCTTTCTTGACATGAAGATACTGTTAGCATTAATCATCCTAATAAAGAAAAAGCTTCCTTCCAAAAAGAGGTGAATACAGTGGTGTGGATCACAGAGGGAGAGAATAAGTGATCCTGTCCAGCAGTGTCATGTCCCGTGGAAAAAAGTGTTGGAGGGAAAAATATTCTAGAAGTTCTCACACTGGAGCATCAGAATCACGGGGAGAGACAGTTAAAACAAAGATGGTTTGACCTTGGCCCCAGAGTTTCTGATACAGCAGGTCTAGCACCTAACGCTCTTGCTTCCTATCTAAGGACTCACGTTCACAGGCATAGGTTCAAACCGCCCCATCCAAACATGGTGTCAGTTGCCCCCAGTAAGAAGCGCAGAGAGACTGACACTTGCTGTTATAAATCAAGTTCATCTAGCTGCTGCCCTCCACTCCCTAATCACTGTTTCTGGAGGCTGCTTGCAGCCTGCTCAAGGCTGCGCTCCATACTCCTGCCTATGCTGGTCTGGCTGAGGCCCGACAGCTTCTAAGACACTTTGCAGCCAAACTCGAGCCACCGCTCCATCTCTTTACAAGCAGATTCAAGTCCATAACCAGGCTCCTGGTCTGTGTATGTGATCCCACTAGACTGCAAACCCTTAAGGGGTCCCCGGATTACCTTTGTATCTCTGGAGTCTGGCTCATTGTTGGGCACAAATGGCAAGATTTTAAATCATTAATAGAAAGGAGCCTCAACTGATACGGCATTTACAAGAGAAACAGTCTGAATGTATCCACAGATGATGACAGCTGGCAAAGCCAATACAGCAATAATTTTATTAGCATAAGAGGGACACAACTATCTACCACCAAACAAATCAAATTACTATACAAATTAACAATCTTCTAAGCCACTTATAGTATATATTCTGTTTTCTATCATAAATTTGGCCTGGTGAACTTCTAAATATCATTAAAAACCCATTGTTCTTATTGTGTCAAACTTAAAGTAGATGAATGGTTATTTCTAAAAGAAACAGTTCAAATTCATAAGCAAGCAAGTCAAACACTTACAATCTTTTTAGCGATGACAGTCCCCAAAAGGCACCTGGATCTATACTACTAATAAGATTATTTCGGAGATCCCTGTTAAAAATAAAATAAGTTATTTACATATCAACACTGTAACACATATTTAGGCACAATGTTATACAGAAAACAATAATAATAGGAGAAAACTGAAGCTGAAAAGATTAAGCCAAGACCACCCCAGAGTAAGTGGCAGAGCCAGAATTCAACTTCAAGAAACCTTGTTCCAAAGTCACTTGTTTTGGTCAATATAAGAATAAAGTTATATGTCAAAAAAGATACGTGTAGCATATTATTCAAACTCAAAGTTAAACTACAGTCCTATACATTATTTCTATAATTTCTTTATTAGTATGTTATACTTTAGTTATCAAAATAAATGAGTGACTGCATTTATGACAAACATAATAAAGTCATATTGTTTTAAACCACTTCAGAAATTACACACTAAAATTCATATTTGGTTGTTCAGAAGCCCCTCCCTGGGCTTCTATGGTTAGTTTTTCTTTAAAATAAACGTGATAGTTCACAACATATGGCTCAAGGCAAAGATCCACCAGCCCCCTACCCAATGGCATCTGATGGCGGTCACAATTGTCTCCCATTCTTCTTAAGCGTGTGGTCCTTCCATGTCAGTACACTGTCACTGGGGGGCAGCAGTGAGTGCCACAGCCACGCCCCTCCACCAAGGTGGATTTGGGCTGCCTGTTAAGGCTGCTGCTCTCCACTGGGTGCCTGGGCTCAGCAGAAGACTCCCAATTCACCCCATATGAGAGTCTGGGGCGCCCTCAGAGAAAGCTGACAGCATTAGGAGGGCTCAGAACAGAATGAAGCTCATTTCCCCATGACACAGTCCAGCCAGCAGCTGGCTCTGAGTGACACCCGAGGTGGGTGTCACTTACTCATAACCTCGTCCACTGAAGTCCCCGGTGGCCTCTGGTCAAATCTCAGAGCACCTGAAGTCGGACTGTGGACAGACACTCTTCCCCACATCTCCCCCTCCTTCTCGACCTAACAACTGCGGCTTCGTCTCTTCCAGGCAGGTGTGCGCTCACACTCCTTGTGGTACACAAGGCTTCGGGACACACACAGCGTTGGTGGAACGATCCGGAAACGCGAAGCGATACTCAGTACAAACCTAGGGTAGCAGGCACCTCACATTAGCAGGTTCCTGACTTCGCTGAGATTTCAAAGGCCTTCCAGGAAGAAGATCCTGGGCCAATGGTGCCACCTGCGATCATGAAACCGAGGTGACAAGTCTCTGGGACCTTTTGTTAACTATGGCTCTATCACGGTCATCCTCGCCTGTGCCTAGGCCATCTACATCGAGAAAATTCCTCAGTTCGTCGTCTCAAATCCCTCCAACTCAGACAGCATCCAACTTCCCTGGTCCACCTGTGCTTTTTCAGGACTCCGAGGGGGTCTTACTACCACGAACATCCATCTATGCATTTTCTTCCATTTGATGAGGAAAGTGATTCGATCTTACTGTCCCGCGAGCTCATGACAACTGTTTTGAAGCATGACCCGCTTGGTAACAGCCTATTTCTTTTAACAGCTCATCCTAACTATTGATACAGACAAGTTACTGGGGTTGGTTTCTAGGTTTCCTAGAAATTTCACAAAAACGTCCTGATGAGATTGGCCCTCTGCTCGCTGAGGTGGCAAGTCATTTCCAGTGAGCCCGACATTCCCATGTGTCACTGACACTGTGGCTTCCCACACTGTCCACGCTGTGTGGTACGTGGCGATAGAGATCGCTTAGAAATTCTCAAGAACACTTCTCTGGAGGTACAATCTGTGACTCCGGGGAACGTCATGTGCTCCAGCAAATCCTGTCTGCCTTTCTCGTGTCTTACTCCCTTCCGACACGAGGCAGTCTTCAGGAGCTAGGGGTGGAGCTGCAATTACACTCGGCCCCCCAAATTAGAGCCAAGTTTTTCTAAATGAAACACATCCCCACGTACTTTGCAATTCTTCCTTTTAAAAAAGGAAATGAGTATTAAACATAGTATAAGTTCTGTGCTCTGATTACCATTAATAAATATTTCATGGATCACAACTCAGATTTTACCTTCCACAAGCAAACAGCTTTGTCAATGCTGGTAGCTGCCCTAACTTTTTTGGTTTCTGCATCCCGGTCTCTAAGATATTTTCTAAATGAAGTAACTGAAAATATCTGAGAAAGCCAAGAAGCTTCATGAAATACATCTGGATGGTAACAGAAGAAAATCGAGTCAACTTACAAATCCAACTCCACTCTGTGGACCTCCGACCAGCCTTTAGGTTCTCCTCTTAACCATGGGTCCAAAGGATGGACCCAGTGTAACAATTTCAATAGAAATAGAAAAATCACGCAGATAACAAAGTCCCTGCTATAACCACCAGGGACGGCATCCCTTGCCCCCAGACTGGTACCATTCTGGGGGCCCAAATGGCTGCTGTGGCAGACACCGACAGCAGCACCACACTTGTTCCTCCACATAAAACTGTCTCCTGTCTCGGCCACATCCTGGAAGCCGCTCCAGGATGGTCAGAACTGAAGGGCATGACTGGCTCTGGGAAGAACCCTCACCCCATGGGGGAGTGGAATGACTCAGCTTCTGGGGTCTGAGGGACCGAGATGTGTTCACCGAAGGCTCCACCTGACAGCTGCCCCTCCTTCTCTCTCGCTGTCCCACTCCCTAGTCCCTGGAGAAGAAAGTTCAGACTCTTTCAAGTAACTTTCGCAGCTACCCGTGGCCTTGGCCTTGCTCATCTCCCTTTCTCCAACTGTCACTTCCCCTTCTGCCCCAACACCTTCCTGCAACACTCACTCACTCACTCAGGCCCTCTTTCATCATAGACACTGGTCTTATTTTGAGATGTTTCTAGAGAGTCATATTTCTCTCACCACGGCTGAGACAAAATTATATGACCTGAACTTTACTATAAAAATATTTTTAGTGAATTATGGGCTGCCACAAAATCATTAGAATATTCATAAAGTCAGACAATGAAGAGATTACTGCTTATCGCTCTATCACAGCCACTTATACTTTTCAATAAAGGTTCAGGGTCATGTCTGTAACTGGCCTTCGAATAGTTTAGCAAACATGTTTATGTGTAGCTATAATCTAATATAAAAAAATATGACAGTAAATTGTTAATAATTATTGACTGTGTAAATTGGTGATATGGGAGATCACATTATTCTTTTAATTTTTCTGTATGTTTGAAAATTTTCAAAATAAAAATTAGTTTGTGTCCCCAAATTTTTATGTCCAGGAAGTACAATTAATCATCAGACCCAACGTATTAGTTCCTATCTCCCTCTCCCCAAGTGATCCCAACCCTACACCTCAGAGAGAAGATTTCCAGAGAAAATTCAATCGGTATGTGTCTGACTTGTATTGCAAAACCTAAAAAATCTCTGCTAGTAGAAACATATAATGTCAGTTCCATTTTTTCAAAACCTGTTTCCCTTTTCAGATTTTAAAAAGCATCTACGACAAAAAATGATTCAGCTAAAACACTACATAAATTTGTGGTCAATGATGTACTGCATGTGTTCCTTCAGAACACCCCTCATGAATAACTAAGTACTGTAATATGATTTAAAGATACATGTTTTCTTTAAAAAAAAAATTCCTGACATATATAATGTATAATAATAGCCATATTAATCAGGCATTGCCAAAAGATATTTATAGTCAGATTGTCTCATTTAATATTCCCAGCACCAAGCCACAGCTTCCCTGGTGAACATGAGTAGAATGTTAGGACGTATAGCTGACTATGGATATGTTGCATCACTAAAACATGAATGAAAGGTGCACAACAACTGCTACACAAAATTAAAAAAAATATATTTTAACAGTTCTCAGAAAAAGAGATAGTTTAAAAAAGAATATGAAGCATGTCAAATAAGATGCTTTTTAACTGTAAGTATCCGAAATCTCTACTCAAAACAGTTTCAATAATAAAGAAAACAATCCTCTGGATTTACAGGAAATCTAGCAGTAAGGCAGCTTTAGTGGCTAGTCACCTCTCTCTCTCAGATCCACTCTTCTTCAGAAGGTCAGCTTACCCTCAACCATGACATCCTATCCCAGATCCAAAAGCCACCTCCAAGCACAAAGCCATGAATAAGAATGGAGACGTTCTTCTTCTGTCTTCTTAGGAGCTGGGAAATCTTTCTCTGAAGCCTCAAAGCTTCATTCCCCTTCACCTCTTATTGGCGAGGGCTGGGTCTGTCACAATCACTAGAAAGAGATGCTTTGGTGACCCAGACCCAGCGTTTGGGGTGGAATGAACACTGAGGAGTCAGACACATCGACCACTATGCAATTTGAGTGTCAGTAATTAGAATATAGGGGAGTCTCACTGAATTGTGACAAACTGTTAACCCAAGAATGATGATACTATAAAATAAAGAGAGAAGATGGGAGAGAGGAAGGGTGGATAAATGGATGAACTCATAAATAACGGAAGTTCCTAATTCTAAACGGGCTACAAGGTCTAAAAATACGAATAACATTTACCAAAGAATTGAAAAGAAAATTTATAAGAAGTATAAATTTTAGAGAATTTTTCAAATAACAATTATACAGTTCATCCTTAAACATGGGTTTGAACTTCTAGGCTGAACTGTGTCCCCACTCCCAGGGGATTCCTACTTTGAAGTCCTGACCCCTAGTACCTCAAAGTGTGACTGTATTAGGAGACAGGGCCTTCAAAAAGGTAATTAAGTTAAAATGAGGTCACTAGAGCAGGCCCTAATCCAACGTGACTGGTGTCCTTATATAAGAAGAGATATGGATGCAGACACAGATAGAGGACAGCCATCTAGAACAGAGCCTTTCCCTCATGACCCTCAGAAGAAAGCAATACTGCCAGCACCTTGATTTTCAATTTCCAGCCTCCAGAACTGGGACAAATAAATTTCGATTGTTTAAGCCTCCCAGTCTGTGCCACTTTGTCATGGCAGCCCTGGCAAACTAATACAACCACTATGCTCACTTACATCGTATCTGAAACAGAGAGAGCCCCAGACAAGTCCTGAAGTCTGCAGAGTCCTGAGAAAGAAGCCACCTCGACACACCATGGAGAGTATGACGAGACCCCGAAGTAAACCAGAGTCCACGAGAAAAGCCTTATGGTAATGAAAGTGCAACTAGAGCTGACAGACACGAAGGAGGGAAGAGAGTCGTGGGGTCTGGTCACAGGAAGAGGACAGTCGTGCAGGAGGCAGAGTAGGTTAGCGAGCTGGGTAACCAGGTAGAGAGGAAAAATGAGCAGAGCTATGAAAACAGTAGGAAGCATGAATCAAGAGATCATTCCAGGAGCTGGTATGGAAACTACTAAATCTATACAGGCTTCACTTGAAAAAGAGTGAATCCAATCAAATCAAAGAACAGGAACACCAAAGAAACGATCAATATGAGAAAGATGGTCGTGGGCTCTGAAGGGTGGAAAGCTCCCGGCCCACTTCCGTGCCCAGGAGAGAAAACAGGCTGCTCTGGGGAAGGTCTGAGAAGATGCTAATCAGCCTTTGATCATGAACTCCCACTAGAAGGGTCAAGCAACTTGACTATGGGATCTCTTTGGCCTATCATGTGTTCTAAAAACTGAGTGAAGCAAAACCAGGGGTGTTTCCACGAGAGGCCAGTCACCCTCAGCTCTCAGACCTTTTCAGCAGGCACCGGAGGAGCAGGATCTGGGCTCACATCCACAGACAGTGGCCAGAGGACAGGGTGCTTCCTGCGACCACTGCGCCTCCCTCCTGCCTCTCGAGACCAAACCGGTAGGTAGCAGGACAGCCTCTAGACCGGAGGTACCACCACCTTCCTGATGACAGTGAGGCTGCTCCTCTCCCCAAAGCCCCAAGCCACTCTCAACTCAAGTAAATGGGATCAGATGCCCAGTCCTGAATCAGTGACCAAGGAACATGTGTGAAGGACTGTCCTCAGCCTGGTCAGGCCCGGAGCTGAGGTGCGGCCAGCATCGTCTGAAGCACGTGAACTATGAGAAGCATGACAGAAACACTTGAATCAATCAATCAATCAATTAATTAATTAATTAAATTAATAGATCCGAGAATTAAGCATTGCTGGGCCAAGAACATTTTATTTATGTGCCTATGTGTGTACGCACATATGTAAACCTATGTAAATAAATATACATATTTTTGCATACACATGTAAATATGAACGTATAAAGTGTATTACTAAATATGTGTATGTCATTGCATATACATAACCTAACTTAAAGACATCTGAATACTAAATGAACAGAGACATACATAAAAGGATAAAGAAGAACTCTGTAGATGGTATATGCTTCAATAAACACATCAGTGATGGACGCAAAAAAGTTCTATGGGAGTCCAACTGAGGGAGAAGCCATGAGTTAAAATGACTAAGCAAAGGCCGCCTAGACATAGCGATAGTGAGGCAGGCAGAGCAAAGAAGGCTCAAAGAAAAAGAGGAAAGTTTTGCTATTCCACAGAAATGGAGAGGCTCACTGTGTGGCTTCCTTCGGTATTCTGAAATGTTATCCTAAGTGTATGAGTAACACGAGATGTTGAAACAATCCTAGAATAGCATTTTTGTTAATACAAGCAAATTAAATATCCACTGTGTAAAAACTCATCGAGGCTAGAAATGAGTGCCACCTGTGACACGTCTGATCTTCAGCAAAACTAGACCTAGTCATTAGCAGAACGCAATGATCGCATTCAGAAACAGCCAGATAAAACACTGAAGTTTATCCAAAAGTTTCTGCCCCTAGACTTGCTTTTTAAAGTCTACTTGTCTGTTTTATGAGGCATATACATTTTATGACAATTTCAAAATGCCATCTGTACTTTCAAAGCCAGGGGTTATTAAACTATAATCCATGGCCTGTTTTGTAAATAAAGTCACCTCCACATCGAGTCATTTATTCATCTGTCGCTGCTTCCTCACTACAACGGCAGAATCGAGTCGCCATGTCTGAGACCTCATGGCCCACAAAGCTTAAACTATTGGCTATCTGGCCTTTTACAGAGAGTCTGCCGACCTCTGCTCGAACTAGTTTTGTTTTGTTTTGTTTTTAATTTTCAGTTACGGTTCACATATATTAGTTTCAGATGTACAACATATGATTAGCCATTTATATACCTTACAAAGTTAACCACCTCCGTCAGTGTAGTACCCATTTGGCACCACACACAGTTATCATAATATTACTACTTCACATGCTATGACTATTTTTATAACTGGCAACTGCACTAATACTTCTTATTTTTTTCACTCATCCCCCAAACCCCTCTCCCATCTGACAATCATCACTTTGTTCTCTTTATGAGTTTGGTTTTGTTTGGTTTGTTCATTTTCTTTTCTTTCTTTCTTTCTTTTTTTTTTTTTTTTGCTTTGTTTTTTTTTTTTAAGATTCCATATATAAGTGAAATCATAACTGTATTTTTTAATTCCATTTTTGAAATTTTTCATAATAAAATGTTGGCAAAACTCAATATTTTTTTTTTTGAAAAGTTGGGAGTTTGGTAATAGATTTACAATGAAAATTCATTAAGTAAAATAACAATAAAAGATGGTAATAAAAGAATACTCACAATCTTTCAAGGAGACTTAGCCCAGAAAATGAGCCATTCTTCAGTTCGGATATTTTATTGTTACTCAGGATCCTAGAAAGGACAGAAAACTTAAATGTAGGTTGCCCAATATATACACACCATTAATGTCATATCCAAATAATTTAGCTCATTATGTTTAAACCTATCAGGAATTCTAAGAAGTCATTTATTTCCCCCAACATTTTTGAGATGGCCTTATTAAAAAAAGGAACTTCTCTTTCTTTGAGAAACCACATAAAAGAGCTCACTCACACATACCACCTCTTATATTGTTCCTGTCACATTGAACCAAAAAATTTAAAATAGAGAACTCAAAACAAAATAGCTCTCAGTTCACTCTAAGAATAAAGAATGCCACATACATTTGTATAATTAATCAACTTATATAAGATGAATACTTATTTTAAAACTGGAAACTTAACAGAAAAATGTGTAACATGCTCTATAAAATATTGACCTTACAAAAAAATAAAGTACCCTCTAGATATGCTGATTATTTGTAATTAAATAGCATACAAATCTACGTCTGTACGTATGAAAATATACTTCCCGCTTGTACTCACATACAGAGAGACACAGATATAACACCATAGTATTATACCTCATGTAACAGGACAGTGTTCTTAAAAAAATGAACTGCGAAGAAAAATTTATTTAAAGAAGTCGTAGTTGAGCCACCCCCTGGCAGGATTTGCCTAAGAGACGATGTGTATGTACATGATCTTGCTTCCTCTCTAGGCTTTGGGACCAAGCACCTTTTGAAGTCTGAATACCAAGAGAGAGTTTCTATAAATAAAGTGAAAATGCTAAAGCTACCTAATTTGAAAGAGTAGGCATATCGAGTTAAGAAAATGAGAAAACCAAGGCATAGAAGAGTTATGTTAATAGCATAAGATTTCAGTTGCAAATGGCAGAACCAGATGGTGAACTCAGAAAATCTCGACTCCAAACTCCATGTTTTCCAACGTAAGCTGATGTCAGTCAAGAGACACACCACTGGACAGAAAATTCTCTATCACACATGCGTTGCACAACTTCAGGTGCACCCCCCACACGGGGTCCAGGGTTCAGTGGTGACCCTCCTCACTCCAGACAGAACAACGCAGCAATTCTACACCTATACAAATGTTAACAGACTACCTCTGGGTTACAAAGTTTCAAGCACATTTTTAGTTTGTCTACTTCCATTATTCTAAAAAAAAAAAAAAAAAAGAAAAGAAAAGAAAAAAGAAAGAAAAAGAAAAAACTTCGATTATTTGTATTAAAACAAAAATACTCATTTGGCATCTAATTTGGCATCCACTTTGATATAAGTGGAATTAAAAAAAAAAAAAATCCCTACTCATGCAGATGAACATTTCAGAGGTTGCTTTGTGGGGTGTTTATTAGGAGCTTTTCAAGTACACCTGTGTTTGAAGTTCAGCTCTATCACTTTCAAGTGACACTGATCTTGGACAAGTCACTCCTCTCTTTAACAGAGTTCCCTCATTCATAAAGTAGGAAGAATTGCATCTACCTCATAAATACTAGAAGGAAATTAGAAAATATATGACACGCTCAATGAGCATTCACTAACTTTCTGATTCTGTTTCCCTGGTTCTAAGACACACACCCTCCCTCCTTGTAATGTTTCTTGCAATCACAGTATATTACCGCGTCGTGTTTGGCCTGCCCTCAAAGCTACATGTAAACTAAGGCAAGGACAAGGCTTCAACTACGGGAACCAGGAAAACAGGATGATCAAAAAAGGTTTCAATTAAAATACAAAACCATGTTCTCTAATCAGAATGGCAAAGGTTTTTAAAAAGTAAGGTAGTTGGCACAGGCCAAAGCGAACTCTGACCGGCACACGGCCACAGAGGTCACCGAAACAAGCTTCCTTAAGCAGCTAGGCTCTGCTCACTCAGGAGCCTGCAAACTGCTATCACAGCCATCAACCCTAAGCTAACAAGTCACCAATCTGACAAGAAGTATATTCGATGACCTTGTTCAGCCTGATTTAAAACACAAAAATTAGAAACTACCAAAGAGGTCAGTTTAGGTAAGAGTTAAATTATGGTACATCCAAGCAACAAAATTTTACGCATCCATTGAAAATGATTCTTTCAAAAAAAAAAAAAAAAAGAAGACTTGGAAGAAATATATCAAAATGATCACTCTCTTAATGATGAGGTTTCCTTTAGCTTCTCTGTTATTCTTCATAATCTTGCAATATCTTTTGAAGCATCTAGAATATGACTCTTATCTTTAAGCCATTTTTTCTGATGATAAATATAAGACTCTTAATAACTAAGCATAGTTTAAAATCGATTTAATTTTGAATACAATTATATCTTAGCAATAAAAACTGAAGCAAGGAATAGTTTTTATACTCTCGGCTTAAAGATTCATATTTGTTTATATCCAAAAAATGTTTATGTGGTGACTGCAACTTAACATGCACTTAAAATAGTGCAAAGAACAATGGTGATGATAACCAGAGTCCAGAGTTTTAACTGAGACTCCACCAGTGATAAATGATTTAGTTTGGGGTAGTCACTTTACTTTTCCAGGTAGACTTCGATCTCGTCATTTTAAAGATGGAAAAAAATCAAACCCGAATGGTCGCCAAGATCTCGTCTAGCTTCTTTTAATTTTCTATAATTATTCACACTTTAATGAGCAAAGCTGATAAACTTTGCGGTGACCAAGAATTTATAATCAATAAACCAAAAAATAAGGAAAACTACACAATCTACTAAGCCCAGTGACAACAGTGTCCTATTTCTGAGTGAAGAATGAAACCCAAATATGGAAGTAGCTTGTGAAAAACTGCCAGGGTGGTGAATGAATTACATTCACTGGGTTCAGTACTGCTTCAGCAAAAGGACTGTCATTTGCTCAGTCATAAAGGCTTTAGCACAATAAACGGTAGATTTTACTGAGAGTGAAAAGACATTTCATCACACTTAAAAAGTTATAACTGTAACCTTAAAAATATAGTTTACAACTTCATGTTAATATATTCGGTCTACACATTACTTGACGTGTTTGAGGATTCTGCGCAAGAAAACGGGATCGGTATGAATAAATCTACTCTGCAGACAGCTTTTATACTCAGTTTTGAGATGGGGGGACTGTGGAACTGGCAAATGCATAATATCATGTATCTTTATAAATCTAAAACCCATTCATAATCAGTATTTTTGCTGACATCTTAGAAATTTCAAACTTTCTAGGAGGTAACTAAATGAAAAATACAATGCTTGACCGAAGTTATAAAGCTTATATATGCCCATTTCTGTTCTACATCAATAATGTTAACACCACATGATCTATAGACAATGCTCAGAAACAGTATTCTGGGCTCACATCTCTTGAATTTCAACACCATAAGCTAAGTTTGATGTCCACTGCTATCGCTTTACACAGTAACAAGGTAATTTAGTATATCATTTAATGCTGAAACATAAAAAAAGGAGTAAGGCTTAATGTAAACATGATTTTTAAAAAAAGAAATCAAAAGTTTATGGAGCAGAAAGAAATAAAAATTAAGTATGAGAAGTTCTCAGTTGCTTGTTATTGCAAGTCCTAGAATAGAACGCTGGTAACAGCACCCATACCTTGGATGGCAGAAGGCAGAGAATAATTCACCTTTTGAGAGGAAATGAAAATATATTTCGAGCGCATTAAATATTCAGATTGAATGCGAGGAATGTAATTCTTAAAGTCAACCACTGAAGGGGAAAATCAGGTAAACAATCAAATAGGGTTACCATAGCGGGCTGCATGGTGGTCCTCTGAAAATATGTCCATCTAAAACGTGTGAACATGCCCTTACCTAGGAAAAGGATGTTTGTGATGTAACTGAAGGTTTCAGGATGAGATCGTCCTGGACTAGGGACCTACACCCAAGGACTAGTGTCCTTAGAAGGGGGGGCGGGGCAGGAGATTCAGAGAAGGTGAAAAGGGAGGCAGACTCAGATGAAGAAAAAAGAGATGCAGATGACAGGCGAATGCAGAAGTCATAACAACTAAAGATTTTCTAGTCTATGGAAAAGGAGCAAATAAGAGTACACTTAAACCGTAGTGCATTTTAAAAACGTCTTTTTGATATTTTTAAACTCATAAGCCATGTTAAAAAAATAAACAAATATTTACAACTATCAGAAACAAAGTCCTAATTTCCCAAATATACAGAGATCTTAAAAAAAAAAAAAATCCCCAATAGAAAACATAGCAAAGGCCATGAACAGAAAGCTCGAAGAAAGTAAGTACTGATGGATCATAATCACATGAAGGGATATGTGATCTTAATAATGAGAGAAATGTAAATTAAAACTAAAATGTAAAGATACCATAAATCGCTTAGAGTGGGGAAAAAAAATGTGCTAACACATTTTATATTCAGAGGCAAACAGCCACTCATATTTTGCTATAAATCAGAACAATCCCTATGGAGAGCAAAAATACAAATGCATAACATTTGATCCATTAATTCACCTTCTGGAAATTTATCCTAAAGATATACTTGTACTTTTGCAAAATATATGACATGTTAAATGCTGTATAATTGTATATTTGTATAACAAAATTATTCATTGTATTATTTGTAAAAGCAAATGACTGGATATTTACATTAGTCCCAGTAGTATGGATTGGTTAAAGTTATCCAGGAAATGTGTTACTATGCAGAATAGGGGGAGGAAGCTCATTAGGTATTCAGATAGAAAGATCAAAGACAGACTGAAGACTGAAGGCATGCCACTTACATATGAAAAGTTTCTATCCCTTGACATTTCTGATTTGCTCAGGTAATACAAATTGTAGTAATAAAATCTGATTCTGTACATTAGATTTATCATAGAGAATAATACTTGTTATTGCTACCTCTTTATCAAGTACAAGAAAAATGGACAATACAGCGAGGCTATGCTTTTGAGTCACCAATCTCAACGGACACACGGCCTAAACCTTTAGAACCACCTGTGATAAGCTAAAATCAGAAATGGTAACTCCACAAAAATAAATTTTTAGTGTTTTGCTTCATTTATCCCACTAATGAAAACTAG